TGGTCGATGACTCAGTAAAAATAACAAAAATCATGTTGGGTCAATCATTTACCACGTTGTGGTCGATGACTCAGTAAAAATAACAAAAATCATGTTGGGTCAATCATTTACCACGTTGTGGTCGATGACTCAGTAAAGATAACAAAAATCATGTTGGGTCAATCATTTACCGCGTTGTGGTCGATGACTCAGTAAAGATAACAAAAATAATGTTGGGTCAATCATTTACCGCGTTGTGGTCGATGACTCAGTAAAGATAACAAAAATAATGTTGGGTCAATCATTTACCACGTTGTGGTCGATGACTCAGTAAAGATCACATGAATTACCATCGTCGCAATAGTGTATAAATAAAGTTATTTGTCCAATTTTTAGCTTCTCGAGCATAAAGCTTAGAATTTATCATACCACAGCGATTTAAAATTGCCATTTCTTACATTATCGTTCTGCTTTTAAGAATTTTCAAGTGTGGCAGTTTAGATGAGTCACTTTATCAAGGTGACCTTAAACACTATTGTAGAATAAGACAAGAGGAACTTGTAATGTAACACGAGATATACACACAAGCTGGAAACATGTAACCAAAACTTACCACTTACTAAGTAAAGCGTTATTTTATATGTGTTTATGTAATGTAGATTACTAAATTTATTAAATTAATTCAGTACTAGCAGAGACCTGGAATACGTTTGTGGTCAAATTAATATCTTTATTGCAACAGTACTTCTTTAAATACAGGATTTTTACAATAATAAAAAATATTTCCAATTGCACTTGTCTTAGGCCTAACATTATTTAGGCCTTTATTAAGTAGAGCCAATATTCGATAAAGAGATAAGTTAACACTGTAACTTGTGTACGTTTTTTGCCTTAGTTTAGTTAGGGCTAAGCTTTACCGTACTTAAAACTATTGATAGATAGACTTATAATGTTACTCTAGGACCTAACGTTAGACTTTTTTTTTTAAATCGTTGATAAGTTTTATATGTTGTTATAAAATATGTCTACTAAAGTATACTTACACCCGTCTTTTGTTTACATTCGTTGAAATGAGGTGTGCGCACATGCACATTTAGATATTAAGGTGTGCACTCATTTTCAGGACAGACAAAACTGAGAATTATTATAATAGATATATTGTACAACGTACATTCAATATAAAATATTAAATAATAATCGCTAATTGAGCCTAATGTGGTAGACATGGTACATAAGGCTTTTCACGTGACAATTCTATTTCAATGCCTAATAATTCGTTATCAGGTGTTCTTGGGATAAGGGCCGAAAACACCGCTGACCTAACCTAAGATAGAGTGGTCATAGAAGTTTTTTTGTGGTTTGCCTGTCACTCATAAATAAGACTAAAAAGCTGTATTAAATGTTAGAATTAACAATAATGTTAATACACTTTTTAACAACTCTTTTGGTAGTGTCATTATATAATTATTCTAGCTTTATGCATATAAATATAACTCTTCTGACGCAAATGACTTTAAAGTAAACCCTGTAACGTTGAAACGTATTTTATAAAGATATAGCGTTTTCCACATTTAAGATTACTCTATTAGTACTTTTGTAATAACAACATCAAATGTCAATATCAAAATTTGTGAGCATTAATTGCTTTTATCTAGAATATGTGAGATTAGATATAAATTTAGCTATTTACGCACAAATGTAATGTCTTTTTTTATTGTTGTACTATATTTAATTCTAAAAAAAGTCATAACTTTTGATATTATAATAACTTGTCATGCTTGTTTTATATCTTGCGTTCAGCTACTCTGTTCTGCACTGCTGACATTAATTTTCTTTTTATTATATTTTTATTTCTAAAACCCACCTATTAAGTTTACTCCCACCTCATGATACCGTGTTCTAGCTTTGTAGAAGTCCACACGACATGTGAATATCCCCTCATCTTCCTCTGTTACAGGATCAAGTTTTAAATGAGCAGGATCATAGTTCATCTCGAAATATGCTCTTGAGGCTAAGTCGTCACTTCTCCAGTGTCTACCATAATGAAGACTTCCACTTCTGGCATCGAGACTATATATTGGAGAAGGTGATTTGTTGTTGTACCAAAGAATTAGAGAAATATCATCTCCGTCTGAATCCGGTGTGATATTACACGGTAGCTTTCCCGGATGTCCGACTAATGCGTAGATCTCAGTCCTGGGAACTGAAAGTTAGAACAACACATCACAGTAGCACCAGGTGTTATACTCTTAAAGAAGTCGTATAATAAATAATAATAAATCTAAAACTGGCTGTATAATAACTGTATATTATTGCATAAAATAAAGGAGAAAATCGCTAAATCCACAAAGCGTTTACTCGTCAAATTTCTTAGAAGATTTTATATTTGTTTTGTTTTAGTTTTATATAATTTTGTTATTAATTTTATTTGTATTTATTCTCTATAGATAATTTTGTTCGGTTAAATACTGACCTCTCGAAAAATATGTCAGCACTGCTTCCAAGTTGTTACTGACAATTACAAATCAGTACATAACCATACTGTTCCAAGTGTGTCTTTATTAGGAAACCATTGAAAAACAATTAAATTAATAAAATTTAAATGTTGCATATACACATTTGTTATGTGTGTGTATGTGAAACGTCAAATATATACATATATATGCGTTAATATGTGTGTTTACTCTATGTACTAAATGTCCTAATATTACTTTATTTGTGAATTTACTTAAAGTCAATGAATGTCTAAAAACGTATAGAAAAAAACCAATAAATAAAGTCCGTATTCCTTCTCGTTAAAGTGCATACAGTTTTCCTTTTATACATTTCTTATTGTCTCTTATTTGAAACAAACTTATCATATATCACTAATTACAAAACAGCGTTAACTCATCTAAAGTGATAATGCGCTAAATGCCAGATCTCTTACGATTCTCTTCTGTTTGAAACCATTGAGCCCAATTTAGTTGAGAAACAATCATCTATTGTTAAAATGTATGTCAATTTCCTCTACTAAAGTAGAGTCAACTGGAATCTCAGTGGTTTATAAATATACGTACAAGACAATCACAGCAAACCGTTTCGGGGATACGCCACATTCGAATTGAAACAATCGTTACTTGATTTGCTTAATTCATTGTTGAGAGATGAATAATTATAATTTAGTTCATCAATTTATTAGAGTGTGTAGCTAGAAAGAGTTCGTATTAATAATCGTAACTATGGTTTAAGAAGATTATTGTTCCTTTCTAAACTAGGTAAAAATGGAATTAATGTAATCATGTATAATGATAAAGAGTAGAGCCATAGTAACATTGGTATACGTCTTCATTAGTTTGAAAACGTTTCGGAATTATACACATTCCATCATCAACAAATCTTTGTGAACAGTCAATAGGAAAAATCTTCAGTATGGCGAACAAACGTTAAAATACAATAAAACTCTTAACAGGAAATTAACAGTTTTTTAGATGAATAGTTGTTTAGTTCCCTAACACAATATTATTGTATTTCAATGTTAATTCACTATATTGTAGTATTTTGTCCTATTGTTTGTTTGTTTGGAATTAAGCACAAAGTTACATAATTGGCTATCTGTGCTCTGCCCACCACGGGTAACGAAACCCGGTTTCTAGCGTTGGAAGTCCGAAGACATACCGCTGTGCCAATGGGGGGGGGGGACTGTTCACAAAGATTTGCCGATGATGGAATATCTATAATTTCGAAATGTTTACAGCTGTTTCCATGGCTCTACTTTTCATTGTTAGAGACAAATATCATTTTACATCACCTTATGTGTAGCTTATTAATAACGGTAGAGTCGAAAACATACTTTTTTTTTCATCAATGCAGCAAATAATAGTATTGAAGAAGAGTTTGATTAGATATCAGAATTTGGATGTGTATTCTGTTTAAGCAAACCGTTCTTAATCCCATGTTCTACTTATTAGAATGTATGTATAAATGAAACATCTGACCATTTTAAGTTAAACAAGTCATATCCAAGGGTAATTATAAAGGTGTACAACAAATAATGTGTTAATGAAAGAACCGTTCTTAGTCCCATGTTCTACTTATTAGAATGTATGTATAAATGAAACATCTGACCATTTTAAGTTAAACAAGTCATATCCAAGGGTAATTATAAAGGTGTACAACAAATAATGTGTTAATGAAAGAACCGTTCTTAGTCCCATGTTCTACTTATTAGAATGTATGTATAAATGAAACATCTGACCATTTTAAGTTAAACAAGTCATATCCAAGGGTAATTATAAAGGTGTACAACAAATAATGTGTTGATGAAACACTAGGTTTTAAAGTGTTACATTATGCGATCCATTTTACGTAATATGCAAATTAGAGCGGAAATTTGAGTAATACGTAAAATCTGGTGGACAGTAGTCTCGTTTCCGATGTTCATCGAATAGAGGTCGAAAGTATCCAATTCGGTTTTAAGAAAATGAAAACCTACTTTGTTTAACAGGCTAGATATACTGTGATATAATACAGGAAATAAACTATCCAATAACTTGTACTAACCATAGATAAAGGTTATGAATACCAGTATACTGTACAAGAACAATAAATTCTACTTTACTCAGCTTTAACAAGACTTTGATGATGTCTTAAACGCTCTATATGTACATGAAGTACATTAACAACATTATAATATCCGTTAATCTCTAATCCAGAGAGCAAAAAGAGATACAAGATAGGAGATTTAATGAAATTTTACTGAATATTTTCAGCAATTTGTATATAGCTAAGAAAGCGTTTGGTTATCAGACGATTCATAACTGTCTGTATAGGAAACCATATTTCAAGAATCTAGGTTCAGTCTCTTCTAACTTTGTATGTTACACTATATTTGAGATTAGCTGTAGAGAAGTTCCGTGTACTTAACTAGATTTATATACATTCATCTATTGAAGTATCCGCGTCTCTGAGATAATACCAAACCATAAAGATAAAGGCAATAAAACGTTCTTGGTATTCAAGTAAATGATGTCAAGACATTCCTATAGCTCAATTTTCTCTTCTTAATATAGAAATTTACGAATGAAGATTTAATGATTCAAGGTGATACTTGAAGTTTCTCAAATCAAGACGAAGATAAAGATAATAGATTAACAATAATTATCTAGCCTAACGGCTGGGTTTTTTGTTTTTCACTACCGTGTGTGTGTGTATATATAAATAGTATAACTTGAATCATTTTACTTTAAAATTGATCATTAAAAATATTGACTACCTTCCAATAAGGCCTAGCATGGTTAGGTGGTTAGGGCGCTCGACTCGCAATCTGAGGGTCGCGGGTTCGAATCCCCGTCCCACCAAACATGCTCGCCCTTTCAGCCGTGGGGGCGTTATAATGTGACGGCCAATCCCACTATTCGTTGGTAAAAGAGTAGCCCAAGAGTTGGCGCTGGGTGGTGATGACTAGCTGCCTTCCCTCTATTCTAACACTGCTAAATTAGGGACGGCTAGTGCAGATAGCTCTCGTGTAGCTTTCCGCGAAATTCAAAAAACAAACAAAGCCTTCCAAGGGCCAAATGGTTAAATTTCAGTAAAAAAAAAAAAAAGTAGGTTAAGGCCACAGTGTAGTCAAATGCATG